GATGGGCCATAATAATCATATACAGTGTATATTGACAAAATAAATAATAAAAAAAAAAAAACACACTGTATCCCACAAAAAGAAATATAAATAAAATTGAAAACAAACAAAGTGTCTGGAAGAGTTGATCTTCAGCTCTGCTCCTGCTGCCACCAGTCCCCAATATTCCATTTACAATATCCCAAAAGAGAATGCAAGTAGAATTTGGCTTTTTAGGCCAACACCTATTGAAAGCTGAGAAGCTTATTGTATTTCACTTAAGCATTATTACATATAGAACTTTTAAAAACACTAGAGATTGGGGGAGGAGGTTTGGGGAGGGACAGGTTGGGTAAAGGGCAAAAGGAAAAATCAAGACTTGTAATTATGAATATGGTAATAATAATAAAAGAAAAGAAAAACATTACATTAAGCAAAGATAAATAAATTTAACATTTCACGTATAGCTACATCACATTATACAAATAAAATACAGATAATATACCTTGTTCAGCCAAACTATAACAACAACAACAAAAACAAAGCTATACTCAATCTCCACTGAGGATATATAAGATCTAACACTGCAATGGGAAGGACATGGACTATGGAAATTTCCTGAAAGTAATGATTATGAAGCATTAATAATTATAACCATGAATTACTAAGGACAGCTGTAGAATATCTTTTAAAAACGGTCTTCGAAAATAGGGCATGAATTGTTTTATGGCATTCCACTATAGACAGGAGTTAGAATAGGGCAGTTTAACATTATTTGCGTTTTGTAATACACTAATGGATTTAGAAATTCATCTCAGCACACTTTTAGATTTGACAGTAGAAAACTACAGAATGTTATACAAAATCACTGTGTAATAAAACCTCACCAACAAATCATTAAAAAAAACATATTGGCCAAGTTAATGAAAAATGTAAAAGAAGTGTCTAAACTACCAAAAACATTTTTAAGTCAACAGTATCATATCTTTAAGGCTACCAATGACATACCTCTAAAGATAGGATTTTCTCCAGACCTACTTATAAAAAGAAAAGTGCTATCAAACAGTGACTTCAAAATTGTGGGGTTTACCTTTTTTTTCTCCAGTGTAGGGCACATAATCTTCCCTGTCCTTATGCTCTAATGCTTCCTTCTCCAGATATGAAAGAAGGTGTTCTCTATCAAACGGCCCTGTAGCGGACTTTGACGTCTGGTTTTTCTGCCGGAACCCTGCAGGCAGGAGGGCATTCTGCCAAAGAGAATGAATCAGCCATTATGATCACCAAGAACACCAATGCTATATGCTTCCAGAGATTATCCATACAAGAAAGAATTATAGACTAGAATGCAATATAGGCATTAAACTTTTCATTGCAGCACTTTAGGGCAGCAATGTAAAAGTGTTCCAAAGAAGTGTTTTTTTTTTTTTTAAATTAGGTATACTCACTTACATTATTATTAAAATAGGCACATACACATTTTCTGCAGAGAGTATCTTACCAGCAAGAAACACCCTTTAGTTTTTAAGTGTCCTGAGATGGCAATAAAAAATAGTTTTCTTAATGCTTAATAACTGCTCAGTATACACGCATGTACAGAGAATAATTCTATTACAAAAGAATGTGAAATGACTACCTATATGACATTTCTTCATAATGACTTCCATTTCACCATATAGACTTTCTCATGATAAAAGCATGTATATCATACTAGGATATTAGGAGATTACAGTTTACTTGTTTGTGATTAAACATAACGTGAAAGGTTGCACTTTTGTGTGTGTGTGTATGTGTATGTGTATACGTGTGCACTAGGATGTACTGGCAGCAACCACTGTCACTGCTGTACGTGACCCAAGGCACACCTGAGATACTCATAGCAAGAGCTGTGTCCCTGGGTTTCCACATAGATACAGCCTTTCTGAGTGCATGGACTGACTGAGAGTAGTGAAAATGGAAGAGCAGAGCGGGGGCGGGGGGCTGTCAAAAGCAATGGATTAAAGTCATCACCTGTAGTCCCTACTTTGAATTTTCACTAAAAGTCCAGGACTAACAAGGGCTGACTAGACAAAGTAAGCAGCATCCTTTGCTTGTCAAAAGCCGAAGAGGTGATACTGCCTTGTCTCATATTCCTGGGCATTTCCTTGCTTTGAAAATGGGAGGCAGTCAGAGAAGTGACACAAAGGGGCCATCCCTCTTTTGCAACACCTCCCAATATGCTGAATCTCATGTGTGGCATAAGACAATTTTACATTACACTTTTCAAATTTTTAAAATTTTTAAAATTTTTTTGGCAGTTGGCCAGTACAGACAGGGATTGAACCCTGGACCTTGGTGTTATCAGTACCATGCTCTAATCAACAGAGCTAAACAGCCAGCCCAATTTTTCATTATAAAGAGTGATCTTATATGGATAACGATAATAGGAAGTATTCTCTTTATAACTAGAAAACATAGCACTTCAACTCTGGCCATTAGCTGAGATCCCTAACAATTTCCATAAAATTCACCTTTGTGTTCCCTTTTACATAATGGTACTTATTACACAGAAACCCAGAGGAGGACTGGAGGTCTGTTCCTAACCCTATACCAGGAATGTTTTTGTAATAAAAAATTATCTATGGGATCATAAAAAAGAAACAAAAGGTTTCTACCTTCAGACTTTGAAATCAAGAAAAGAACTACACATGAAGAATCTATTCCCAATGAACAATCAAGTCCTATCTATTTTTAATTCCTAAAAAAACCTTAATTTGTTTCTTTACTTTTTTCCATTCTCAACACTATTACTTTGGTCCAAGATATGATCCAAGCTTGCCTGGAATGTTACCTTAGTCTCCCAACTGATCTCCCTGGATCAGGTGCCTGATACTCTTCGTCCCTCACTCCCATCCTCAATCTGTTACCCTAGCCTCACCTCACACACACTCTCCATTCTAGCCACACTAACCTTTTCCCTCCCTTGTACTTGCCCTATAGCTCCTTCTACCACAGGCCTTTATGTACATGGTCCCCCTTCCCTGGAATGCTCTGTCCATCCCTTTTTGCCACTCATTTTTTCAGATAGCAGCTCCATTTTCCCAAGGGAAGTTTTCCTAACCTCCCATTATATGTTCTTATAGCCTGTAGCACTTACTATTTTTTTAATATGGTATGATTATTTGATTAATGTCTAACTCTCCCCATTCCTACCAACCTACATCATGATGGCAAAGACCATGTTTGTATTGCTCAGTCTTGTATCTCTAAGCCTAGCATAGTACTTGGGACCTATAGATTATCCCCCAAAGATCTATTGAGTAAATATTTTAGAACACTTTTAAGGAAAAATGCCCATTAAGGCCAATTAATAAAAAGTTACTTTCCTGGGCCGGCCCGGTGGCGCACTGGATAGTGCACCGCTTGGGAAGCGCGGCAGCGCTCCCGCCGGAGGGTTCGGATCCCACATACAGACCGGTTCCCGCTCACTGGCTGAGCGAGG